AGAGCCTGGCCCCTTCCCATCCGTGCCTCATTCTCCACAGCTCTGCTGGGTCTCAGATCTGGGCACGTCCCCACGCACCAGCCGCCTCGCCTCCCTAACCTGACCAAATGCCAGTCTTCTTGGGGAATGGTGGGGTGGGGCGCCCTGGCGGGGTAGCCTGGGAAGCGGGGCACTGGAATCGGGTTCATCTGCGGCTGAGCGGGTCGCCTCTGCCCTGCAGGGAATGTAACCGGCGGCAGAAGGTCATCCCGGTGGTGAACAGCTTCTATGCGGCCACTTTCCTTCACCTGGCGCAGGAGTGGAGGACCCGGCAGAGGACCATCTCGGACTCGGGCTTTGTCCTCAAAGGTGGGCACTTTCTCCTGTGGACTACTGCGTTTCCCTCCCCTCCCCTCCCCATAGATCTCTGTGAGGTCAAGGCCAGCCTGGTCTACATGTGGGGCCTGCTGTCTCTCCCTTCTCTGCCGCCATGCTCCTCCCGTCTGTCTGTCCATGCACTTCTGTCCCTTGCCTGTTACCTGTTTGCGTGTCTGAGCAGGGTCTCGCTATAAGGCCCTGGCCGACCTGGAACTTGCTGCGTAGACCAGAATGGCCTTGAATTTGTGGCAGTCCATCTGCCTCTGCTTCCTGACTACAAAGATTACAGGCATCCAGCCTGGTCTTCAGAGGGAGTTCCGGGACCATAGTCCTGGACTCAGAGAAACCCTGTCTCAAAGAAGAAGAAAAAACAACAAAGATTACGGGTGTGCTTGGTGGCCTCTGGCCATATATGTCTGATGACTGTTTGTGGTTGTTGTTATTTTTGTTCAGATTTTTGAGATTGTCTCATCCTGTAGCCAGGCTACAGTCCTCCTGCTCCATCCTCCTGTGTTGGGATTACAGTCTTGTGCATGTGTGGTTCTTCATGATCACATCAAACAACAACAACAAAAACCCCACGTCTTCTGAACCAAAATTTAAAGCTCAACAGGCACTTCTCTGGGAGGTCAAGGCCAGCCTGGTCTACATGTGAGTTTCAGGCACTTGTCTGTGAGGTCAAGGCCAGCCTGGTCTACATGTGAGTTTCAGGCAGTTCTGTGTGAGGTCAAGGCTAGCCTGGTCTACATGTGAGTTTCAGGCAAGCCAGAGCTACATGGTAACAAACAACAAACAGGACAGACAAAATGGCCCAGTGGTTAGAGGGCATACTGCTCTTGCAGAGAACCCACTTGGTTCCCAGCACCCACGCTGGGCAGCTCACATCTGCCTGTAACTCCAGCTCGGGAGAGATACTGCTCCTCTGACCTCTGAGGCACTCACGCTCACATGCACATATCCACACTCAGACTTATATACATATCTTGAAAAATAATAATAAGTCTTGAAAACACACAGTCAGTAAAAGTTGGGGCTGGGATGTGGTGCTGTTGTTAAAGCTCCTGCCTGGCATGCGGGAGCCCTGGGTTCAGTTCCCGGAGCTGCACAAGCTGTGTGGTGGCTCAAGCCTGTCATCTCCGCACTTAATAGGTGGAGACAGGAAGGTAAGACGTTCCAGGTCTGCAGGAGCTCTGTCTCAAATGGAGCAGAACAAAACAAAACACCATGAAAGCTAGGGCTGGAGAGATGGCTCAGCGCTTGAGAGAGCACTGTCCGCTCCTCCCCAGGACTGGCCTCTAACCCAGCACCCACACGGGGCCTCACAACTCCACTTCCAGGGGATCTGGCGCCCTCTTCTGGCCTCCTCAGGCATCAAGCACACGTGGTACACAGACATAAATTCAAGCAAAACTTCATATAAAATAAAATAAAAAATTTAAGCTAAAACATGTGAAAGCCGAGGTCTAGCAGTTAGCCCGGTTCTCCAGAGTTGAGATCTCTGTCATAAGGAAGAAGTGTTCCCTGGGCTCTGTCAGGTTTTGCCATCTTTGATGACTGTTTTGTCTCTTAAGGACAGGGTTGGAGGCGTTCGCAGGGCCATTGGACTTGAGGCCTTGTGTCGTCCCCCGCCCCCGCCCTCCCCCCCCAGCCCTCAGTTCCCAATCTCCTCTGTTCCAGACTTGGAAGTATTGGCCAAGAAGAGCCCCAAACGGCTGCTCAAGACTCTGGACGCCTACCTAGCCCGAGTGTCACAGGGACAGGCCTCCTTGTTGGGGGCACAGAAGTGCTCTGGATCACAAGGGCCTCACTCCAAGGACCTCACCTTCACAGGCGTGTGTGAGCTGCAGTCTCACTCACTGGAGAGTGCGGGGTTGGTCTGACCCACCCCGGGGACCATTCCTAGAAAGGCAATCCGGGTTGGTCGCCGGAGCTTCCAGAACCCAAGAACCGTGTCTGGACCAAAGCCCTTCCTGCCTCTGCAGGTGAGGTTAGGAAGCTCCCACGTGGGCGGAGTGAAGCCCATTCAGGCAGCTAGAATTTACCTCCTTGCCGCTTTTGAAGCAAGGAGTTTTCTGTCGTTCCCCGCTGGGCTCCAGTTCACAGGGTTAGGCTCCCGATCCCTCAGTGGAAGTGAACAGACCACAAAGTAGGGCAGTCGGAACAGTCTACCCATCCGCACCTAGAGGAAGAGGTCCTGGAAGCTGCTGCTAGGAGTCTGACAACCCACCCAGCCGCTGTCCCCAGAGTCTGAGGTTGGAACTGGAGTGGCAGAGGCAACAATCCCTTTGGCCAGCAGAGGGCAGCACAGCACAGTTAAAGGCGACTGACTGATGATGGGCAGGCCTCTCCGTCAACCTCCGCGATTTTCAGGACACTTATTTCCACCTTTCTCCCCCGACCCGTACCTCCTTGCCCACCACGATTTGTGATCTAGAAATGGGCACTCGGCTAGCTAGACTAGTTATCGCGGTGCCCGAGGCTGGGGTCTGGAGACCACGCACCAGGTTAACTGGTTATCTGGCCTGGCTGAGAGGCGCTGGGAACTCGCTCACCCACCAGCAGTTGTAGAATAAAGGAATTGTTGTAGTCTCTAGTGTTTTCTTCCAAGACAGTTCAGGGCCTTCCTGCGCCCGGGCTCCCTGCCACCTGAGTCCCCCCAGCTGCACCGACAGGCCTGGGGATGTCTAATTTATTATTGTTTGTGTGTATGATATGGGGTGTGGGGCACACAGGATGTGACATGTGGGGATCAGAAGACAGCTTTGTGAAGTCTCTCTCTCCACCTTTAGGTTCTGGAGACTAAAACCAGGTCGTCTGGCTTTTGTGGCAAGCTCCTTACCCATCTTGCCCACCCAGGCCAGGAGACGCCTTGCAAGCGCTAGCCAGTGAGCACGATGTCTCTTGTTAGAGTTGACTAGTGTGGTGTCCACCCAGGCTGTCCCTGCATTTGCTTCAGGGCCTGGCTGTTGCTCCCTTGGCCCAGCCCCTCACCTAACACCCGAGAGCCTCAGGCCCCCTGCCCGCCTCTGACTTCCCACAAGTGACGCTGTAGAAGCCAGTGTCCATCTCTGCTTGTGTTTCCAGAGATGGCACCAACAGAGGCTTCCCAGTGTGCTGTGGCATGCCCTGCAGTTGGCCCTGTCGGATTTGCAGGGTCTCAGTTAGAATGTTTGTTACCAGGCCTCTTCCCTTCCTTCCTGGCCGCTTCCCTTGCTCTGAGCCTGCAAGGCTAACTCGGCAGCATCAGCTGGAAGCACAGGGTCCCAGCATGTCAGGCCACATGGGCCCTAGGAGGGTCAGGCTGGAAGGGAGCCAGCTGCCCCAGCAGGGAGGGGCCCTTCATCCAGACCAGGGTGTGCACGGCTCCAGGATAACTCGGGAATCTGTTCTGGTGGGGTGGAGGTGGAGAGAGGAGGCCGCTGAGAGCTGCATTTCTCTTGGAGGTAGGGAGAACCGCTTTCCACGGGAGGACCTCCTTCCCACGGGAGACCTTAAAGTCTCCATAAATCTAAAACGGGCAGAATCACCGGGTGTGTCTTCCTCTCTCCCGGCATGAGCTCCTCTGTGGAAGTCTCAGGGAAAACTGAGGGGAGGGTCCACAGAGGAGCTCACCTTCCTTTGCTTCTTAGCACACCAAAAAGATGAACTTGTCAGACTTTCTGGCTTTGTGTGGGACAGAAGAATCAGTGTGCCACAGCTCAGAAGCCACAATAACCCTTAGCACACAGGAGGGGGGGCTGGGTGGCTCAGGGGGGCTGGTGCTAGGCCTCTCAGCCTCTGGTCCAGGCTCACCAAGACACCCCACTCTTGCCACGCCTTCAGGGTGGGGGCCTCTTTGTGACTCGCTCCCTCACCATCTCTAGTTTGTTTGTTTTGAGATAGGGTCTCATATAGCCTACGCTGACCTGGAACTCACTATGTAGCAAAGGCTAAACTCATGATCCTCCTGCCTCTGCCTCCCAAGTGAGTCAGGATTACAGGCTTGTGCCTCCGTACCTGGCTCAGCTTCTCTTCTCCCTAGCACATGCTGTCTGCCCTCCTCAATATTCCATACTGTGTCATTAACAAGAGATAGAACTAGGCCTGTGACCAGGGAGAACACCAATTACCAGAAGCGGGGCCTCTGTACTGTAGACTGTGCTTTACACACACACACACACACACACACACACACCACACACACACCACTGGTCCTGGGCTAATGAGCCAAACACGAAACCCAGTGCAGTAAGAGAGAACAGCGAGCCTACTCAAGGGCTGTGGCACATTCTGTTGCCGGGTGAGTGTAACCATTTAAACTGCCTCCTGGGTGCTCACTGGGGCAGCTGAGGAAACACGGGTTTGAACAGAAATCTAGCCCCAGCCCCAGCCCCAGCCGCCTCCCAGCTGGGAATGTGAGACTTGAACGAAACCCTGGCCTGAAAGCAATGCCCAGGCCTGGCACCGTGCCACCTCCCTATTGGGTTCTGGGCATGGCGGGTTGGATAGCAGCTCCACTGAGAGTCCTGGCCACGCAGAGCCAGTGCTGGGCTCCTGGAAGCCATGGAATATCATCTGTGTTCTGCTCAGCCCCCAGAATGGGGATGAGCCCAAGCGAGTAGGTAGGACAAAGTCAGCCCAGGGCGAGTGCACTGGGAGAGAGCTGGGAACGGAATGTGTCTCCTTTATTGAGCATCCGGAGGGCACCTCGGTGCTGACTCAGCAGCCAGAGGCGGAACAAGCAGGCAGGTGGCGGCAGGCAGGAGAGCAGGGCCGGGCACACCCACCCTCACTTCCAGTCCTTGAAGAATTGCTTGAAGATGGGACTCTCTCGGCCCTGGGGCAGAATCTCCACCTGCAGTGGGGGAAAAGCTTGGCTCATGGGCTGCCCGCCTCCTGCTGAGGAGGAGGACAAGGGGTACCATGACCGGTCGGCAGAGTTCGGTAGGACATAACCAAGGCCAAAGGCAGCTGTGCCTTGCCAGCCATGTCCCTGAGAGAATGTTCCTTTCCGGTTAAATCTTGTCATGGCCCTACAGTTAGGTTGTCTCGCTACGTCAGGGCCTGAGGTGCGAGGGCATGTATGTCATCGACCAGAAGGCTTGCATCTTCAAGTGACACATGATCACTAACACCACCTGAACTGTGGTTTTCGATAGCCACACACACACATGTACACACTTTTGTGGGGTTTTCGAGAGGATTATGGGAAGAAATACTCTAAAGTATTTCTGGTCTGTCGTGATTTAGGAGGGAAAAGGACTGCTTTATCCCATGAATATACCACCCACCTCACAAATATTCATAAAATCGTTTTCTGAGCTGGGCACGGTGACTCACACCTGTAATCTCAGCACGGGAGAGGCTGAGGCAGGAGAATTGCTGTGATTTGAGCAACAGAGTGAGACACTGTCCCGAAAGGGGGACGAGAGAGCTGAGGATGAAGCTCAGCTGGTAGAGGGCGTGCTAGCCCCACACAAAGCCCTGGGTTCAATTCCCAGCACCACTTAAGCCAGGTGTGACCCACACCTGTAATCCTAGAACTTGGGAAGTAGAAGCCAGAAGATCAGAAGTTCAAGGTCATCCTTAGCTACAAAGACAGTCTGAGGCCAGCCTGGGCTACATGAGACCCATAGGGAGAGAGGCAAGATGAGAATATCTTGTGTAGCCACCGTGCTGGGACTAAAAGGGGTACCCATGGCTGGGGACAGACACAGCCCCCCAGAGGCATGCCCTGTCCCTCAGGCTCCCAGGATTCTCTTTGAAAATAAGTTTGGAGTTGTTGTTGTTGTTGTTTTTAATGCTGAAGGGATGAAAAGGCTTTTCCACCTAACTGGTCTGAGGCAGACAAGTCTGCACCCAACTCCTGAGCTGCCCTGTCTGCCAGGTCTCGGGGTAGGGAGCCACAGGAAGGTGCCAGGAGGAGGTGGGGGACGTGGTTTTGTCCTCACCTGAGTGTTTGGGGAATATTTCATCCGAGAGATGAAGCCATCAGCCACTTGGAGGGCTGCCTGCCTCTCCTTCTCATTAGCTTTCCGCCCTGGAACACAGGAACAAGATTTCAGAAGGGGAAGAGGATGGGGTGCAACCACGGGAGAGGGCTCACCCTCCCGGCGTGTGTGAAGCTCCGCCTTCTGTCTCTAGCACCACAGAAGACCACCTGTAAGCTCGCACTGGGGAAGTGGAGGCAGGAGGCTCCCAACCACAGCCTCATCTTCATGTCTTCAGCTACAGAGGGAGTTCACAGTCAGCCTGGGCTGCATGAGACACTGGAGGGGGCAGAGGGTCTCTGGTTTCTACCCCATCCTCCTGAGGAAATTTTAGGGGTCCACAGAATACCTGACAGTTTTTTTTTTAACAAATGTACTCAGTGTACCCAAGAATACGGAGGGCCCCTTGGAGTATGAAGTCATGCCCTTAATTTTTTCCCCCAGAAAGCTGGCAGCTCTAAACTAAGATTTAATTAGTTAATTAATTAATTAAAGCCTCTGCCTGGATCAGCAGAATCTTCTGGCTCTGACCAAGCCATCTTTTAGGAAGAATAAGCTTCCTCCTAGACATCGAACTGTAAGGCCAGTCAGTGGGCCAGGGCAATGGCTTGGCGGTTAAGAGCACTTGCTTCTCCTGCAGAGGACCTGAGTTCAATTCCCAGCATCCACTTGGCACTCACAACCACCTGTAATTCCAGTTCCAGGGGATCCAATGCTGCCTTCTGGCTTCTGAGGACACGGCACACACATGATTCTCAGACATACGTGCAAGAAAAATACACATAGAATACAAAAGAAACTCCATGGCCAGGGCCTCACCCTCCCCTGGAGCCGCTCACCTTCTGTGTGTGTACAGTGTAACCGATAACACCATTCTGTTATCAAACCTTTTTTTGTGTGACACTCAATTGGACGCGGAGTAAAATTTCTTATAGAGGCAAACTGACTCCCACAAGGTCAAAAGCCAACATGCTTGCTGATGAAGTGTTTAAAAGGCTGAAGATCACCCAGAATCCACAATGTAGACAATGGAGGCAATCATTTATGTAGGCCTTTATGTTGGCAATCACTGGGACACAAACTGTGATTCAAGCTGAACCACAAGCTGAAGGCATTTTGACAAGGAAACAGAGCCAAGCGTGGTGGTTGGCTCTCTGGCCAGTGTTAAAATCTTGTGAACTATGGAGTGTCTGTGTCCTTCCTCCGCAACTGACTCACTGTTCTGGCATCCATGGGCACTTGTCTCCCGTCTCCTGCCTCCCAAGCTTCCTGTCCCACGACTTCTTTTCCTATAATGATTCCTTTCTTGGGGTCTACAGACTCTGGAGTCTCAGCATTGGCTCCATGGTATATGGCGCCTCTACAGGAAGGAAAGGGCAGCCCCAGGGCAAGAGATGTAGCTCAGTCGGTAGACTATTTACCCAGCATGCCCTGGGTTCCAACCCCAGCACCAGAGAAAATCAGGCATGGTAGTGCATGCCTATAATCCCAGCCCTCAGGAGATGGAGGCGGCATGAGGATCAGGAAGGAGTTCAAGGTCATCCTTGGCTACACAAGTTAGAGGCCAACCTGGGCTATATGAGACCTTGTCTCAAAAAAGAAAGGGAAAAGGCTGGAAAGATGGCTCAGTGGTTAAGAGCACTTGCTACTTTTGCAAAGGACCAGAGTTCAGTTCCCAGCA